TGAATAATGTTCTTACACAGCTCCTCTTGTGAGAGGTTGGGTTGTTACTTTGGTAATGGAGTAGCTGATTAGTGTCTCTTTTAAGCAAGTCAATAATAGACTTCCCCTTTTGGGGAGAACACAGACTTTTCTATCAAAATATTAATGACATGCTGCTTGCTGATGAAAAGAATAATACTGAGATATTACTGTCAGCTTATTTATCGTAACTAATGGATAGTTAATGTGCAGTATCATAGTTACCTGAAAGGGACATCTCCCACCAAGGAGAAATAGACAAAAAACCAAAGAACACAGACAAAAAAATACTGCAGTACCCACTATTTTCTGCTAGTATTGCTAACTCTATCTGAAACCAACTCTGAAACAACTTCTGAGTAAATGTGTATATGTGATACACATATGTTCATGTACATTCGTGTGTGTACATATACCCACCAGGAACCACATTCAAAAAAAGGCAGGAGCAGGTAAAAGAGTAAATCAATATTAAATGAATTTAGTACTATAAATTGAAATTAATTGCTTGTAAAAAGCATACTTTGTTAGTAAAATTAATTTAGTTTCATCTTAGTACCTATCCATGTTCTGTCTCATATATAAGCCACATTCATACATAACAATACACAAATATGTACAAATACCTCCCCTTTTCCAGGAAAAGCAGGGAAAAAAAACTAGAATGGACATGGGGTCAGAAGAAGCTGCACTGGAAAAGAAACTATTTAACTGTAGGGAAACTATTTAACTGTAACAAAAAGGGTAAACATTCACTAGGCAACCAGCCATTCCCAAGCAACAGCTAATCTTCAAGACCACTCCTCCGTTTCAGTAGTATTTTCTGCAGTCATTCCACTTCATGTCATTGTTTCTTTGTTTTCAACAGCGACTTTTATTTTCAGAAAATGTGGGACAGCACCCTTACCCCCAATTCAAAGTAATTGAGAGAAAATTCTTCCTATCAATAAATACTTCTAAGGGTTGACTTATATTTTAAAGAAAAGAAAGTTACATGACTTCCCATTAATTTGGCATACAGCTTTTTAAAAAAAACAGAATGTATAATTTGTTTCTGAATATTAAAACAGAACTCTTTGTCTAGGAAAGTAATGTAAGAGGCTTGGAGATTTTATTCACATATCATGGATCAGATCTGCTTCCATATCGGCTGCCAATTCTCTCCAATTTTCCTGAGACTACCTCCCCACATGAATACTCTTTTTTGTTGCCTGAAGCTTGGTGAGTATATACTTACTGTCTACATATCAATGGAAAATTATAATTTCCCTTTTAAAACCTAGGGATTTCAATTTAATAAATCAAGCAGTATTCCTGATTAATAAGTCAATTTAAAATATAAGCAGCATGTGCTGCTTAGGAGAGATCCTAACACTACAGCTAAACTTTGCTCAGTTTTTTGCTGCTTCCTGCAATTAATTATTAAGTGCCTGGTTTAGGTACAGTGCAAGTTTCCTCTTTGCTATACTTGAAAGATCCTCCTCCCACTTTAATAGCCAGTGATGGAAATATCAGCAACATTCCTGCTACTGACTTCTAGTTTTTAAATAGTTGTTGAAGTATGTCACCAAATACCTGCAGAGAGAACAAAATAAAAAAGGGACATAGGAAGCTGTGTCATACGAGGTTCACTATTGCCCTTTCTTGGCTAGAATTGTTTAATGTTTTTCATGAACTTGCCTATTGAATGTAATTTCTAGTAGATCTCTGAATGATTTGGATGAAGTTTTAGATTTCCATGGAATCTGAAAAAAGTTGCAGCTGTGTTAAGGAGTTGAATAATTAATGTGATTCTTAAGAACTTATCCAGGCAGTTGCCGTAATCAACACTGAAGGCAGCAAAGATTTTATTCAGACTGGTGTGGAAGCCAGCAAAAGTGATGTGGTTTCTTTCATGAATAGCATAGTAACGCTTTGCTCACACAAAGTCTGAAGCAGTTCTTCAGAATCATTTTTAAAGCCCTAATTTCTAGAACCTTTGTTCCTATGAGCAAATGTTTGGCATGTGATGATTATTCTATTGCAAAGGTATTTCCAACCTGGTTGATAGCATGGCAGAGCCTGTGATTAAGTTGCCCAGTTAAGTCAAACCAGTTTTAAATTCAGTAGTGTTTCTGTTTTCAGTCATTTCACTGCTGTACCACAAATATTGTAGTGTACCAATTTCCTTGCGACCTTTCTAGACCTAAGTGAAAATATTTTGTTCAACTTCTTTCAAAAATTGAACATTTTAGATGCATCCCTTGTGCATGTTAAGTCCTAGTGATTTTGTTTCCTGATTATTTAGAAGTGGGATGATGTGGCATCCGCAAGAAAAAATGCTATAGTGACCTTGATGTAAGTACACTGAGCTACAATTTTGATGGTAAACTATGATTGAAGTGGTTCACACATTATTTACAGAAGTTTACTTTGAAGCATTTGGATAGAAGCAAGTGAAACTTAACTGGACAAATGTCAAAGCTCTCTGCGTTAATATGAAATATTATGCCTGGAGGATGGATTTGATGAAAATGTAGAGGGTTTTTTTTTTTTTGAGTGAATTATTATTGCCGGGGAGGGAGGAATTGTCTATTACTTGAGTGTTGCCATTTTATATGACTGTCCAAGAGCAAACATGCCATAATATATTCAATTATACCTTTGTTCAGTAAACAGACCCTGTTGCCCACACATTTAGTCAATTCCTTTCATTCTGATTTTAGGGTAGTTGTGGCCTGGACCTACTGGACCCCATTTTTACAACCGTTAATGAAACATGAGAATTCATCAGCATAATTTTTGGACAGCTTTTATCTCCAAATCCCCTTAAAACAGCCTTAAAGTATTTATTTCACTTCAGAACTATCCCCATGTATCAGACAAATAAAAAGGGGCCAAAAAATTCAGCTTTGTCCTTGTGGTGACGTTGCGACCAAGTCCCCTGTGGCTGTGAGATGTCCATTTTTCCTCTAGAGGAATATGCTAACAAATCAGGAAGCTCCTAAGCTTGGCTTGCCTTTATGTCTCAACCAGGAAACTACAGTTGCTCTTTTTACAATAAGTCAATCATAGTACTTAAACCATGATTTGAAGTTTATTCAGTATTGCTTGGCTTCATTACAGTAGTCACAATAGTTTTCCAGTAAGGATAAAATTGGAAGCATTGTTTAATGACAGGCTTCTGTTTTAATTGTGTTTGTGCAAAAGAGATTACACATGGGCTAAAGGTTTAGTCATACCTCATCTTATTAAAATGAGGTGTGTGTTTGCAGTTTTTGTCAAAAATGGGATTACCTATCATCATTTTCTTTACTACTCACACATGTTCTTCTTTATTGAAGAGTGGATGAAGTCTGTTGCTACCTAAGGGTATGCCTGATTTAGTAATAAAACTATGGAAAGCTGCTTTGCCTCATGTTGGATTACTGATTCATCTACTTGAGTATGCTTTATAATAATAGCCAATTGCTCTTCTGGGTTCCAAACAGTGGTCTTTCCCAGTATTATCTGGGGAAAGAGCTTGGGTTCTTTCTGTTTAGAACATGTACTGTATCACTGACTACATATTTGCTGTTTGTAGAAGAATAGATTGTTGTATGTAGCATCTTAAGTACCAATCTGGTATTTATTCATCCTTATCTGGAAGTATAGTGATGATGCAATATTTATTGATTCCTTTCTCCAAAAAGAACAGTGGGTCCTAGGACAGCTTACCTGAAAGAGTTTTTCTTACCTGGTTTTTATACAGACAATTCCTAATTAAGTGTTAGAGTCAAAATTGAATATACTTGCAAGATCTGACACAGAAGCATATTTCACTAGTATCAGCACTTGTGAGAGCTGACAGTAATCAGGAAAGGTCCCTTCTGAGTGTGACCTGGGTTCTTACATTCAACAGCTTGGGGGGCTTAATTGTTTTATTCATTGGGTTGGCTCCTTTTAAAAGAAAGCAACTTTCAGTACTTCTGAAGCTAACATGATGCATTTATCTAATATAGGTACTGTATGTTGTAATTTCTGGTGCTTATTATAGTTCAAAATAAAAGCTGCCTTTCCACACTTTCAGTTCTTCAAAAAAAACCATGTTTTAAACTATTACTAACTTTCTAAAGGAAGTGGCATTTGCTAGTCTAAATTATAGGATTAAAAAAAAAGATTTTATAGTGCTTAATTCTGATCATGATGGCTTCTTGCTTTAATGTGTTGGAGTCTTTTAAAATGTGAGACTTTTTAAAAACAGCATCTCTCTTTCTCTCTCTCTCTCTATCACACACACACGTACACACACACATACAAGGTGATTTCCCTTTTTTCTTAGCAAAATGAAGAGCCTATTAGACAATCAAATCAAATCAAATCTTCAGTTTATATAGTTTATTTCCCAGCAGCTGTTAAAAATAATATTGCAGATAAAATGCACTTGGCTGTGCATTTTGGGATCATAATGTTGCTGCTATTTGGTATTTATTGTATCATGATGGTAAGGAAGCCCCTCCAAATTCTAGTGCAGTGTGAAAATGCTTCTTCCCATGCTTAAAATAATAGTTCTGCTTTCCAGGTGTGAGGAGACTGTTTTTATCCATTGCTCCTTTCTCTTGAGGTCCTCTCTATCCCAGAAAATACTGCTCTTGAGAGACAGGTGAGAAAGTCATAGATTAAATGGAGGAGAAGAGGCAAATATAGTAGATCCTTGTTTGGGCACCATGGGCTTCTTGTTAACTCAGATGTCTTGTCCAATTCCAGAAGGGGTCTTTAGAAAGAAACCCACTGTTGTTTGTCAGCAAATTGCATTTCAAACTATTTAGAAGAGAGCTCTATGGTTCATACAAAAGCCTGTGGAGGGCCATGTGTGACTCATGGGTTGCAGGTTGTCTGCACTGGTTGCCACTACTTCATATTTCCCAGCATAGAAAAGACAATGCTTCTGTAATACTGGGAGTGTGTAGTAAGAAGAGGGTGGACAGAGAAGACAGTAATGAACTCTGTCCAAAAGTTTCTTCATCCCTGAAAGCTTTTTGTTCCAGTGGAAGAAGGGAGAGGAGTACTGTAAGTTTCAGAGATAACTCTCTGTACAGTTATCTCATAAATCTGGTCTAGAAATTTGGGGAATTTTCAGAAAAGCATAGGAGATAATATTGCGAGGTTCATTTCTCCATTCTCTTAATATAAGCCTTTGATGGATAAAAAGGCCTTCTGTTGGTAGAAACCAATGGGCTTACAACCCTTTGTTTCAAAACACAGATCAGTATTCATAAATGTGAGAATGGAAAGACAGAAAAAATGGTCTGACAGTGGATGAAACTTTAATATTTTGGGGAAAAATATTTTTGCTTCTTAATATCAGTTCAAGATTAGTCTGTATTTCACCATGTCAGCCTGTTGTCATTGTTATTTTCTTCTATCCCTTTTAGCTTTTATTTTTAACACTCCTAGTTTTTAATTATTTAGTCTTAACTCAAGGCAGCATTTTTAATGATTTGGTCTCAATAAAAGGCAAAGAACAGTGATATTCCCTCCTTTCAAATCTATTCTGTTTTTAAAAGTAGTAGTGGTAGTAAAGGGTTGAAAAACTGATGAAACAGTGTATAATGTTTAGATGCTGAGGCTGGAAGAACATTCTTTGTATTTTAAAAAATCCTATTAAAACTTTTGATATATTCTGAAAAGTGTGGCCATTTGAGTTTAAGAGACCATCTCTAGAAAACCATGTTCTTTATCAGCAATAGAAGTGCATATAGCTTAAGCCTTGTAATTCTCTGTTTTTGTTTTTAATGCATTGAAAAAATGATATTGCAATGTTATAGTCAACATATTAGTCACACAAAGTCAGGAATTTCAGATAAATGATTCCCTTATCAGCTGTAATTTAGCTGAAAACCTGATTATGGTTTCCATAAAAGGTGGTGAAGTGGTGAAAGAGAACTACACTTTTAAGGGAACGGTTCATAAATATGCTCCCTTGTCTGCACTGAATTTTTCTCAGATGTTTTTCCTAGGCTATATTTTTTGATGTTTGACCTCATCCTGGTAGCAGCTCCCATACTACAGTGTCTTATTAAATTAATTCAGCTAATTATGGAATGAAGGGAGAAGAAAAGTAATTGACAGCAAATTGGTGCACTGGGCATTTGAGATTGCTGAAGGCTGTTTTCAGTGGGACTAGTATACTGTTACAGGCAGTCCGTGACTTATGACCATTCGTTTAGCAACTGTTCAAAGTTACGAAGGTGCTGAAAAAA